AGCATGAATGAAAAAACTTTGGCAACCTGAATGTATACAGCCCAGTTTCGTAGAAGAATTCCTGTAAGTCTTAGCACACTTCTAAGTCCTGACGGAAATATCTGCTGCCTTTAGAGAAATTACTCTATAACATACTAATGCCAGGACTTTTACTTCAAACCAGATGTTCTCAGTGACACTTAAAAAGCACAGAGATATTCTAGCATTTCCTGTGCAAATTCTACACTCTGGGTGCCACTGGGAAGGAAAGTCTGGAGTATGAGATTGCTGAACCAGACAGACTCACTTCTGCCACGGGCGTTAGAAATTGACTGAAAAAGGTGGCAGAATCTGATTGTGGTGTAGTTCCTGCTCAGTAAAACATGATTTTAGTTTTAAGCATATATGTATATGCTGTAACGTGGATGGATTCAAGTGCATCATAGCTGTAGGGATAAAGAGGCCATGAGCAGTGATAGGGTCCAAATAAAAGCTAGGGTTTCCTAATCCTGCCAGCCCACTGAGACAACTCACTTTCACAGCGGGGAAAAGGCCGTGTCCACTGTCCCAGGTTAAGGCAGTGTTGAACAGAGTTTCCCACTATCTGGAAGCCTGGGTCACAGGAAAGGCTCACTTTTGACCCTGGCTTTAAATCAGCAGATGAGGCCCGCAGATGTGGTATGGATCCTTGCAAAGATGGACAGTCTGTGGACAAAATATATGCATACAGTAAGAGACACAGCTATGTGCTGAAACGAATAAATTTGTTATCTGATTGTTTGATCCTCTATAAATTTATCCAAGATAAAGCTTTGGAAGTGTTATGTATGCTACATCCTGCTCAGGTTCAAAGAGTTTTAAGAATCATCAATATATAACATCAGAAAAGGAATCTGTAGGAAAAAAGGTGAAGAGGCAGTAAGTATTTTAATACCATCCAGTTATTTTTAGAATAAAAGACAAGCAAAACCTCTTTCTGACCCAACATCTTTTTTTTCCCCATCTCAATTCAGGAAGCAATAAATCTCTGTCACAGATTCCAGTGAACTTCTGTTACAAAACCCTGGAATTCAAGGAATGAAGGACTGAATGTTCTAACTGTCAAATTATCAAAATATTCAAGGTTAGCAGGGCAAAGGCTGCAAGCTAGCATATTTGACCTCATATAATAGTTCAGAAAAAAAGGGTTCTAGGAATTAAAATTCTAACCAGCACAAAATATACTCTTGTAATCTATCTTCACTCTTCCAACAAGTCCTGGCAGGAAATCTGGCCAAGCTAGTACATTTCCTTTTTGGAGTTCTTCTGGACAGGATGTAGCCAGAGATTTTACCTATGGATTTAAAACAGTTGATTAGGTGCTGTTTAAGGACCATGTAGGAAAAGAATGTAAAAAAATATTCCTTCTATGTCTGCATGCAATGCTAGAACAAATCATTGAATAAGTGATGTTCATCCTTTCTAGCGCAAGAGGCTTCTGGATGAACTACTTGTTATTCTGTACTTACAAGGCAACTAGCTGTGGACAGGCATGTATTGAGGTAATACCTGAAGGAATACTTGTCATACAAGCAAAGTATAAAACATAGTTCTTGAAACAAAACTGTGTTTGTTAGCATGAAAGAAAAATGTATTTATGTCACACAAAAAGGCAGATATGAGAATGCAACCTGAACAGAAAACTTGATGTATTTACAGAAAAACGTCCAATAGGAGCCAAAAGGTACTTAATGTTGAAAATCTGCATTCCGCAAACTCTGCTAGCGCTGCACCATGTTGAAGGAACAGAAACACAAAAAGGAGCAGTTTAATAAAGCAATTTGTTGTTTCCAGGACAAGAGTTTTGTGAATTCAATGTGATCAACAGCAGGTTAATATCTTGAGAGCAGATCTGCTCAAATATCTTTGATGGAAAAGTTTTCCATTTAAAATATAACTCCTCTAACGGCACCACTAGCGGTTTCTTTTGCATTCTTACTACAAGATACTGAAATGCCAATGGGAATCCTTAAGCTGTTTCAGTATTGTATTTTAATGTAAAAAGAAAATATTTCAATAAAATAAAAATATTTCTAGTTCTTCACTATGACTCTGAGAATGTATTAAACATAGTAACATCATTATATTTCTACCTGTCCACCAATAGAAGGAACCTGGGGACTACAATCCCAGATGGCACAGCACTTTTAAGCTATTCAGACACCAGTGTAAATTATTTGCAATAGTAAGAATATGCAGACAGGCCCTTAATGATGAAATGTCACATAAATATTCCATAATGGTCCCTTGGAAGAAGTTCAGATGTCCTGACCTCAACATTTGTGAAAATGAAGGCTGCCTAGTTCCACTGGAACTACTAGTTCCATCTCTCAGGGAGATTTCTGCTTCATGAAAGTGTTTTAAAACCGCGAATGAAAGACCAGGGCTTTGGACATACTCTGCATTGCCTTCGTCCACTATGACTCCAGGAACAGAAAGAAAACAGTCCCAGAAGGTGACTGGGACTAAGGTGTATTATTGCCACAATAATGCCCATTACATTTCTCCCTATAAGGGCAGACGCAATTACATCTCATCCATGGAACTGCTGAAAACAACATATGTGCCCTGAGAAAGATAAATGTGCAGTAAAGGGATAATTAAGGATTTCCTCTTCTTTTAAGATATCAGAGAGGGAAGTGGTCTACGGAGAAAAGATGGTTATTCAATTAAGAGAACACGTTAGTAATTAGGCTACTGAGACTACTTCCTACTCTTTGGGTCTTCCGTGCTGGAGGGTCATTCCAGCAACCCCCTGGCAGGGAGGAAGGAATGCTTCCTTCATCAGCATGAAAAAATGAATTAGGAAGAGCAAAGATGAATAGTCCATTGGGCTATGCACACCTCAGCAGAGCCAGCCTACCTATACAACACATGCAGCATGGCTCCAGGGCACAGCTAGCTGGTTAGAGAGCACGGATGTGCCCAGTTCATGCCAAACAGTTGGGAAACTGGCTCTCTCAGCAGGGTAACTGGCTTCTTTCAAGCCTCCAGTAGATGAAAAAAAAGACCAGGAAACTCCCTCATCTGGTTCGGCCCACTGATTACTACACACTGTTGGTCCTACACGTTAGCAACGATGAGGTTGCGCTAAGAAGCCCAAAGGCAATTAAAAGGACTCCAGAGCGCTGCGACGATTGGTTGATGGAGCGGGAGCACAGGTAGTGTTTTCATCAATCCCTTCAGTGACAGGGAAGAACGATGAAAGGAACAGGAAAACACACCTGGTCAAGACATGGCTCAGGGGCTGGTGCCGTTGGCAGAATTTCGGGTTTTTTGACCACAGGGCGGTTTACACGGCACCGGGCCTGCTGGCAGCAGATGGAGTGCAACTGTCTCCAAGGCGGAAAAGGATTCTTGCTTATGAGCTGGCAGGCCTCATCGAGAGGGCTTTAAACTAGATTTGAAGGGGGAAGGGGATAAAATCAGGCTCACTAGAGATGAGTCCAGGGGTGGCATGCCGGAATTTGGGGTGAAAAGGATAGCCCAGCTCAAGTGCATCTACACCAATGCACACACCATGGGCACCAAACAGGAAGAGCTGGAAGCCGTTGTGTAGAGGGACAGCTATGACTTAGTCACCATCACAGAAACATGGTGGGATGATTCTCAGGACTGGAGTGCTGCAATGGATGGTTGTAAGCTCTTCCC